TTATTATTATTAAACTAAAATCACAAAAAATGTTCAACTAGGTTACTTGAAAATTTTTTGTGATTTTTTAATATTAATTTCTCAATAAGTTCCACGGTTTACTATATATATATATATATATATATATATATATATATATATATATATATATATATATATATATATATATATATATAATTAAACCAGTAATTTGTGGGTAATGCAGCAAATGAAAGATTACGTTTTTAAGTTTATTCCAAGCTTTCGGAAATGTTTATTTCCATCATCAGGGAGACTAAAATAAAATAATACCACATATTATGATAACGTAAGGTAAAAATTTTTTACTTACATCTTAATTAAGGTTGTTCATTTTGGTGGTATTATTCAGTTTAGTGTAGAGATACAAAATGGACAAGCTGAAGTCAATTACAAAATAATATATATATATATATATATATATATATATATATATATATATATATTTTATTGTATAAAACAAAATCTAAATATTTCAAAAACCTTATTTTTAGTTTTTTTCTACTCCATCTAATCAATAAATAATAGTATAATTCGAGAATTGTTGTTGAGGACTTACTTTCTCGTGAGGCACTGTACAAATACTCACATTAAAAAAAAAAAATCTCAAAAATTTGCAAGGTAAGGTATAGTTAAAAGTTCAGTATTAGATAAATAAGGACTTCAACTATTAGAAAAAAATTAATTTTAGTCATAATCTAATAACTTTTTTTAACATTTGAGGCGAGAGGTGTGGCGAAAGGACCTCCTTAACAGGTCCACACTGAACCTGGAACTCGTACTGGGTCCTAGAGCCGCAATTAATTTATTTAATGTTATAAACTAGGGCTCGGAATTGTATTCGGATAATTCGATAATTCGAATATTCGAATACTCAAAATTCGATATTTTTAGATCGAAATTATTCGAATAGTCGAATAGTCAAATATTCGAATAGTCGAATAGTCGAGTATTCGAATAGTCGAATATTCGAATAGTCGAATATTCGAATATTCGAATAGTTGAATATTCAAATACTCAATATTCGAATATTCGACTAATTGAACTAGGTATTCGATACTCGAATATTTGACTATTCGAATACTTAAATATCGGAATAATGTAAATGTTCAAATATTCGGATATATATTTTGAATTAATTTATATACCTAATTTAAATGTTTCTTTTTTATCTATTGCTTAAAAATAAAGGTAGAAGAAAAATGACGGGACTAATACGTTACGGTAACAATGTATTTATTTATTTCCTTGTAGTGCTGGCGTTTTATTTGGTAAATGAGGGAAACCCCAACGTTGTTTCACATTCGCACTTTTCACACGCTTGTTTATGTTTGTTAAGTTCTAACTTACTAGTTATTTTATTCATATTAGTGAGTGTATGTCTGTCAGTCAACGTTTGTCCGATACAGATGTTAAATATGAGTTCAGAACGCAGTAAGATTTGGCTTTACTTCGATATAAAAGAGAATCGTGTGTAGTGTAAATTATGTACTTACATTGTCATAGACAGAAGTAATACCAGTAATTTGTGGAATCAATTAAGAACTAAGCATCATACCAAAAAAAACAGGTATGAATTATACGTTAATCAAATAATCAAATTCTCGAACATTCGAATATTCGAATACTCGAATATTCGAATACTCGAATACTCGAATATTCGAATACTCGAATACTCGAATATTCGAATACTCGTATAATCGAATATTCGAATAGTCGAATATTCGAATACTTAGAAATATTCGAATAGTGAATAATTTGGGTATTCGAATAAAGTTTCAAACGAATATTCGAATACAAAAATCTGAAAAATTCCGAGCCCTATTATAAACCCGAAGTGGGTTCTATAAAAAAACTCGCACCAAGTTATGGCACTACTTGGAATCCTATATAAAGTAATGTGGTTTGAAAGAAAAAAAGTATGTCTAGTTTGCCATCGTTGGCCATATAAAAAACTCTCACTGAGTTATGGCCTACCTGGAATCCCATGTAATGTGATTCGAAAGAAAAAGTATGTCCAGTTTACCATCGTCTGCCATATAAAAAAAATACGTGTGGCACTCGGGGACTGCCGCGGTAAAGCTATTGCATAGCATTTTTTATCAACTTATGCAATTATAATTATTTATTTATTTATTTATTTTATTTATGCAGTATTTTTTTTCTTTGATATTAATTCAAGTGCCACTTTTTGAGCGTGGTGACCGATAAGAAAACATTTTTTTTTTCTTTTATTGAATAAAAGAGAAGTTAATATTGTTTAAAATATTTTTATTATCTTACAATACACGTAGGTTATTCAGGAATTTTTATCATTGAAACTATAGGTTTATGGTAACTGAAATAAGAAACATAGGATTGAGACTTGATATCCTCTAAATATCTGGAAAATACCGCGTCAATGGTGGTCCCATATTTTGTTGTGGATTCTTGTGGATCATTATTCATTTTCAAATTAAATTTTTCCGAAATTGTGTCTAAAAGAAATAGAATTAGTTATGAGCAGTTAGCAGCTAGTCTACACGCATACGTCTAGTCGCACGCACACAAACACCGTGCCGAAGTCTGCCGAACTGAAACGACGTTAGACGATGCACGGCTTTCAACGCCGCACCGCTGTGCCGGTCGAAGTGGGGGGTGTTAGGTTAATTTTCGTTACGGAATTTCTTTTTCGATTTTTCTATTTTCGATTTTTCGATATTCTTTTATTGAATAAATGAGAAGTTAATATTGTTTAACGCTGCACCGCTGTGCCGGTCGGGGTGGGGGGTGTTAGGTTTTTTTCGTTACGGTTTCGTTTTTTTTTTCTTGATTCGGTCAAAGCTCAAAGCCCGCGATAAAAGCTATGTAATAGGTTAAAAACTCTCACTGAGTTATGACACTACCTGGAATCCCATGTAAAGTAATGTGATTCGAAAGAAAAAAGTCAGTTTTCCTTCATTTGCCAGATGTTTGACAATGCTATTAAAAAATTAGTTTTTACAGGTCCACACTGAACGTGGGACTCGCACTCAGTTTATTTAATCCGCTCTGGATTTGTTATAAACCCACAGTGGGTTTTAAATAAAACTCGCACTAAATTATGACACAACTGAAAGAAAAAGTAATATGTCCAGTTTACCATCATCTTCCATATAAAATTTTGCTAGATGTTTGATGCTATCAAAAAACCAGTATCTTACTTGCCTTTATGATTTAACAGGTCCGGAACATGGGACTCGCATTGGGCCCTAGACTCGCATTGAGTCTATTTAATCCGCATTGCAATTATTATAAACCCGCACTGGGGTTTAACTAAAACTCTTACTGAGTTATGACACTATCTGGAATCACATGTAAAGTAATGTGAAAGAAAGAGTATGTCCAGTTTATCATCGTCCGTCTTCAATTTCTTTTGTAATCTAAAAAAAATGAATTTATTTTTAATATACCTGCATCCTTCTGTTGATAAATAAATACTATCTTTGGTTGTTCTGTCAGAGAACTAAAACTGGATGAACTGCATTTTTTTGTCTAAATATTCTGTGAATTACGTAGGTGATTTTCTTCATTAGAGTCGCTCCCGCTGTTTAAGATTTCTTCCTTTCTGTATGTTGTTTCTTAAGTGTTTTTAACTTCTTACTTAAACGACACAATTTTGAGTCGTTCTCCGACGTTTCTGATTATGAATAATAATATTTTCGTATATTTTATTTAAATTTAAAACATTTGGCTTTGGACTATGGTGCACAACTAGCTTACTTATCATCTGAAGAAGGGAGCACAGTGTATAATTAATTGAAAGAGTCGCAGGACTCATTTTCAGTATACAAACTTAAACTATCTAAAATAATTCCGTTCGGCCCTCGTAAAAGAACTACGTAAAGTGATTATTAATCTAAAGTAGTTGATAATAAGGTGAATAAAAAAATATTTAACTGTGTTTATAGCTTCTGACCGGAAACGACATTAGCTATTAGCTAATCGGACATGATTATCGCATCGAAACAACAAAAATAAAAACAAACTTAAACACCTGGTAATCTTATTTTCGTTCTAAACGTGTACATACGGGCAGCGTTTCTTTACTAGAGTGTCATTAATAACATCTGATAATATAATATAGAATGCATACTTTTATATTAAATCTTGTTGAATGAAACTTGTTAGTAAACAATAAACCAAAGTGCCGTGTCAAGTTTGAAGTTTAATAGATTAGATAAAAGTTGTAATTAATGTGTCACATATATTTTCAAGGGATTAAGTGATATGATTATTATCGACAATTTTTTATACTGTATTTTAAAAAAATTAGGACTCGAGTTGGAATTTCAAAGTATCGATAATTTAAGCATACCAAGAAGAATGAAATTAGTATGATGACAACGATTATATTTTAAATTATAATGATTTTGTATCGAAATAAGTTTATTTCGTATTCATAACAATCCATGTACCCAGTGGCTTCATGCACCGGGCGCTACTCACAAAGGGGCGCCAAATGGTCCACAGAACAAAAAAATTGCTGGATAATTTTTATTTTTATTATAATTGATTTCTAGAAAATATATTTTAAATTTAGTGCCAGTGTAATATAATAAATTTTAATTCGTAAATAAAAAGGAAAAAAGGAACACCAGTAGTCTAAACCAAACTGTAATAATATATTCCTAATAGAAATGGTACGTCTTTTCTACTGGCATGATCTATTATTAGAAGCGAACATTCAGTCCGAAAAAAGAACGGTAGCGAAATAGATTGCAAAGAATATTAGCTTGCATGAGGTATTTATTTAATTATACAAAATCTTCCTCTACGTGGCCATGTTGAAAAAGTAGCACTTCAAGATGGTACAAATGTAGCTCAGACATGTAGCGGTGCGTTATCGTCGATAGGCTAGAGAATATAGTAGAACTATTAGAAAAATTAGCAGAGGACACTACCACTACAAGTGACTCCAGAAGTGAAGATACAATTCTGTTGCAAAATATATTAACTTTTAGTTTCATAACTTTAGTTCATATCTGGTATGAAATCTTAAGGAGGATTGATCTTGTGCAGCTCAGATTACAAGATCCTAGAATGAATTTTAGAGAAGCGTTCCATGATCTTGAATCATTAGCGACTGAACTAGCTGACATTCGAGACAAGCTCTGTGAAGAGGCAATAGAAAAAGCGAAGTCTCTTTGTGAAAAATGGGATATTGATGCAATAATACGTGTAAGAAGACGCCGCAAAATGCCCGGAGAATTGACTAGAGATGTTGGTCTTTCCGCAGAAAGTGTAATTTTGCCCGTTATGAAAAGCGTTCTTGATCGTCTCCAACAAGAAATATGTACACGATTAAGTGACCTTAATTTCAAATTTGGATTTCTAAAAGATTTTAAAAATTTATTAAACAAGGATAATGTTGATAACGACATTGAAAAAAAAATGTAAAAATTTGGGTGAATTTTATAATACAGATTTCAATGGAATGGAAACTCTTAATCGAAATATGTGACTGCAAAATGTTACTCTGCAGTAGAAAATAAATTGAACCTAAAACTCCATTAGAATTTCTCACTTTTATAATCTCGTATGGAGAAGATGTTTTTCCAAACCTGAGAGTGGCACTCCTGACTATCTTAGTATCAATTGCTAGCTGAGAAAGTTCATTCAGCAAATTAAAATTAATTTTGACATATCTACGATCAACGATGGGACAAGATCGCCTAAGTGACTTAGCATTTTTAAGTGTGAAAAGAGAAAAATTTGAAATGATCAACTTTGATGATATTATTAATAAAGTTGCTATATCAAAATCAAGGAAAATTTATACATAATAATTAGTTTTATTAATGTATTATATAAATATAATAATATTATTAAATATATGTATCTCCTTAGAGATAATAAATATTTACTTTTTTATTGTTTTAAAACGGCGTGTTTTTAAAATATTTCTTTATAAATATGTAAAATAAATAATAGGTATCTTTTGAACTAATTCTAGATGATCATATACATTTCAAAATCTAGTATTGTTTTCTCAACTACATTTTTTGTCTCAAATTTAAAGCATATCTTGATTCTATAACTTTATTTATTTCACTTTATTTATTAATTTGCGAGTATATTTTACATATAATATCATATGGTCTTCGAATGGGGGGGGGGGGGGTGGGGGGGGGTAAAAAGGTATTAAGCCCCGGGCGCCAGTCAAGCTCGCTACGCCACTGCATGTACCACAGCGATAATAAAATATTGTGGTATATTGTCAAAAGCCACTATTTCCACCCTGGGCACTGCAAAGCCAAGATGAAAATAATGGGTTTTGTTCAAATTTTGCCAGATAGAACTGTTTAAAACTTTATTTACACTACACTATAAGTAAAATCAATCGCATTAAGTAAATTCAAATACGCACTGCAAACCCCGAACAAAATACAAAAATCGGTTATTTTAGATTAATCGGATATTTTCGAGTTTTTAGAGATAGTATATTCGATTTTGATTAATAGATTACAATATTATACTGTTTTCAAACAATACAACTATTAACTAACTTGATGTACTCTAGTGATAAATAAATAAACGATTCATAAAAGTAATCGATTATGGGAAAAAAACAATTAATCGAAAATAATCGATTAAACGAAAAAATCGAAAAGAATCGAATAGAATCGAAACAATCGAAAAGAACCAAAAGAATCGAAAAGAATCGAAAAGAATCGAAAAGAATCGACATTAATCAAAATTAATCGAAATTAATCGAAAAGAGTCGAAAAGAATAAAAAATAATCGATTAATCGAAAAGAATCAAAAATAATGTATTAATCGAACATAATCGATAAATCACAAAAAATCGATTATTTTTAAGTAATCTACTAGTCGAAAATAACTGATTATTTATTTTGTAGATCGCCCGGCCCTAACGTTTTTGGCAATCCATTTTGGCAACAAAATTATTTAAATAAGAAGTTTTATTTGAGTAATTGGATTTTTTTTTATATTAATTTATAGAAATCTAATGAAATTTACCAAAAGAAAATTGTCTACTAAAACTAGCCAAAATAGCTGAAAACCTACCAAAAAAGCAGAAATCTACCAAATGTGGCAACGTTGAATTAAAGACTCCCAGTCAGAGTGACCTTGATCAAGCACAATAACTAATCGTTGGACTAAGCGAAGTTAACTGTCGTGACGTAATCTACGTGCGATGCACAAAATGATGCTAAAATAGCGTGGTTTCGAGCAAGCATAGTAATAATAAAAATTGACACATTTAAACTATTACGAATAATGGATAATCTGATCATGCGTGAAAATCTTATTCTACTGTTTTTAATACGAATCTGCTGGCTGAAGAAATACGTAAAAGGCCACCAACTTTCTGTTGTGTTCTTATAATATTTATCTGTTTGTTTGAGTTTTGAGCCTTTTTTTGTTTGTCTATTTTTAATTTAATGATTTAATTATAAAAAATCAATTTAAGTATTACCAAAATTATCTCAAATTTCTTCTTTTTTATCTAATAGACACACACTGTTATATGTTAGCCTCTTACGTATTAATTCAATAGTCACGTGTTCTGCCTATTTGAAACATTTTTTGAGGATGTTTTTCTTCATTTTTCCTTAAAAATGAGTTTAATTTCGAAAAAACAATTATATAATATTAAAATGGTCTGAAAACTTAAGATAGTCGAAAATGAAAAATCCAGCGGTGTTAAATCGTGTTAAGTCCCAGGTGGCCGATTGTAGTCTTTGAAAGGTAAAAATTACAACTCCTAAAAATGTCTCAAACACAAGTCTCACTTTGTGCGACTTAAATTTCAGTTTCTCTACGAGGCTCAAGTAAATATAGATTCATCGTTACTAAACATATAAGTAGTTTCTTCCAAAATTATTTGTCATAGGAGACAAATGCAGCGAAATTTAAAATAACTCCTCAAAAGTGGAATAACATCAACTGGAAAAGTGAAAAAAACAGAAAAAGATAGTTTGTGTTTCCATTGCTAGGAAAATAAGGAAAATGATTTACAAAACAATGAAGTGGTTCTAATTGCGAACACATCTCTATAACTATATTATGAAGTATTATATATTTTGTTTTACAGTTTTTTGTTTTTTATTTTTTTTAATGGTTTTTTTATTGTTTTTTTTTTTTCGTTTTGTTTTATTTTCTTTTGTTTATAAAATCCAAAACTTTCTAAAAAAAGTGAAATCACCAAAAAATGCAAGATTATGTGTTTATTTTAGATTCTGAATATATATGTACGCTGACTTCAAACAAAAATACATTGACGAGTATAATATACATTACCCAGAGAGAAATGTGGAATTATCATAAAGCAAAGACATCGCAGTAAAAATGTTTTAGAAAGATGGAATCATCGTTTAAATAAATTAATGAGTCCACATTCCGATGCATTCCAACAGTGAAGTGTTTTACTTAAAGACGCAGAGTTTTCTGATTAAGTTTATAATATATTCTTTAAATTTATAAAGAAAACTGCACATTATTTAAAACAATAATTATTAACGATACAGGGGACGTAATGTTAAGTATATTCAGAAGCAAGAATAAATATATTCTTTTAAAATAACAATTAAGTACTAGTTTAAAACAGTTACTATTGTTTGAATTATAAATGATGCTTATTATATTTAAAAGAAATAAATTCATATTCTCAAATCTGACCAGTGTAAAAACAACAAAGAAAAAAGTACATGTTTCCATAGGCGCCGGAACTCAAAAATTGCTTTGGGTGCCCGGCCTCTATGCGAGAAATGGGGACTCCCCCCTCCCCCATCACAACCCACTTAGGGTTACCACCGGTTTTTTTAAAGCGTTGATTTTATGAAAATGTTCTTGGAAGAGAAAGGTATTGTTAAATGTCGATTTGCTGGAGTTTTGAGTATTGAGGAATGAAGCGGCAGATGGGAGTTCCAATGAAATAAAAAGAAATGCAATATAAAACATTTATTAACTATCATGAATTTAGAAGGAGATTTTTGATAATTTATTAATACACATATAAAGGAGTATTGTATATATACAGGGTTGACATTTGAAAACGAAACAGAACCATTTTTTGGCACCTCAGGTCATTTACGACAAAACGCTCGGACCCGTCAATTTTTGATTTTAGGGGGAAACATTTTTTTTTGCCATTTTCACCCCCTAAAATCTTAAATGGAAAGAGGGGTCGAATGATATTTTATTTTGAAACTATTTTTACATAGATTATAACCCCCGAGTATTAAATGTCTTCCTAGCCATGATTTGAGAATATTCATCAATTATCCGTTGTCGCAGATTTTCCAGTGATGTTGGCTGGGTGTCATAAATTTTAGTTTTTAAGTGGTCCCATAAAAAATCTAATGGGGTTAGATTCGGAGACCGTGGAGGCCACTCAATACTTCCTCTTTTTACGATCCATTGACCTAGAAACGTTTGATCCAAATACTGTCGAACAGTCAGTGCAAAATGGGGTGGCGCACCGTCTTGCTGGTATATTAAGTTGTTTGCTATGTACTGATCGTCTTTCTCAATCAACTCTAGTAATACTGGATAAATAGCGTTTTCTAATAATTCCAGATATATTTCTGCGGTTAAAGTTCCAAGTAAAAAAGAAGCCAGTTATACGGTTACAAAAAATGCCAAACATTCAGTTTTTCTGGATGTTGCGTATGCACTACATGAAATATTATGATATTTGAATCGGACCAATAACGACAGTTGTGACGATTTACCGTACCAATTAGGAAAAAATTCAGTCGTTAGAAAAACACACGTTGAAAAGAAATTGCTGATCATTTATTGCAAGTTCAGTCATAATTTCACAAAATTGTAATCGCCTATTAAAATGGTCTTCATTAAGTTCTTGTACCAGATGTATTTTGTAGGGATGAAACTTGTGAATGCTACTTCTCTTAATACCAGATGTTATCGGTAGCTGGCTTGTACCCAATGTGGGTTCTTGAACAACATGCCCTAAAATCGCCAAATCTGTAGCTTCATTTACTACAACATTTTCTATTTTACGTTTTTTGTTAGCTACTGAACCCGTTTCCCAAAATTTACTTTTCTTGAACTTGTCGATTTTGATGTTGATTGTTAAACAGTTGGGCAGTTCTATTAGCACATCCATTGTTCACAAAAAAAGTGAAATTATTTGCACCCTCTTAGGAATTGAGTAAACCATTATCACTGATATGCCACTTTTATGCCGACTCTCTAACGACATAAACTAAACCTTACTACTTTACGGCGACCAAAGAATGTCATCTGATAACAATAATTGAATTAAGTGTAAGGGTTAAAGAAAAGGTCCTTTATTTCTCACAATAATTGAAGGCCACAGGAATAAAACTAGAATTGTTACAAAAAATTTATTTTTAATAACAATGTAAAAATTATGTTAAACCTGTTTTGTACTTTTGTAGCGATGT